TGCGTGCTTTCACATTTTAGCACAAATAAATTTCTCTAAATATAAGAGAATAACTGATCTTGTGGATATTTTTGGTGCAAATGTAAAAGACTTGACTACAATGAATGACTTACCCCAAATGGAATTTTGTAAGTATTATTTACGTGATGTTATTCACGAGAGGATACGGTATTGAGAAAGTTATATTAATATGTTGTATATGCATACTAATATCTTTATTAAAAGCTACAAAACCTGCCGATATATCTGAAGAACAGTTAAAAAGAATAATCGATGCTATAGTGACACGTCTGAAGGTACATTATATTTGTTATCTCTCTATACAGGTTTGTTTAATACTAATATGCATCATTTTACTGTTTACTTTCAAGCTACTTATACACACATCAGGTCCAATTGGAGGAAAGAATGAGATGGAACGGTCATATTATATCGATGCTGTTTTACGTGACATTGTTAAATCATGTGGAGAAGATGTTCAGATATATCAACAATATAGCATTGTTGGATCGCATGGAGATGGACGTGTGGATTACGTTATCAAGCATGTGAATACTATAATTTGTATAACTGAGGCAAAGACCTCGGCTATAGAACAAGGAATATGTCAAAATTTCATTCAATTACATAGCGCTTGCAAGGTAAATTATATTTCTTATTATTATCCAACACAAATTTTTAACACTAAATGTATTCACAATAACAAATCTTACATTAGATCAATTTAAGAAAACGAAAATTTGACGATCTTGCTGGATATGATTATGTTTATGGAATTGTCTCTACAGGCGACCAATGGATCTTTACAGTTGTAAGTTCTGCTAATGAGCTTGCAGCAGCAAATAAGAAGATACAGACATTAAGTGTTAATAGCGATGATGTTGATGATGATAGGCTGGCAAATGATGTACAAATTCTAGTTCGTGCAATCCTTGGAATTCTCCAAGATAAGATTGCAAGTATTGAGGAACAACCACAAGCAAAGAGACAGCGACTTGAGGAGGTTCTATCAACTAAATGATAGGTAACATCACTAATGTTGGGAATAGTATAAGTATTGCATGCAATAGTCTTCATATATTTCGCGTTGTCATTCTGAATATTTCCATATTGCTAATAAAAAACCTTTATGGGAGAACAGACTTTTGTATTAGTTAATAAAGTTTATTCATTCTATATTTTGTCATTCCATTCATTTGTCAGTTTTTTTTCTTGGTTTTTTGTTTAACAATCCCTCTGAAATTGAGTTGGACAAGAATTTAAGTTTTAGAATAAAAATATTTCATTTGTCAACTTGGTCAACGATGTTACTCACCGATCAGGTATCATACCTTAACATCAATAGTAACAATTATGCAACCACATCTTCACGGAACGGAAAAAATTCGCAATAACGAGTCTCGGACTTGGTCACTGTCCGTAACAATGGCGATTTTTTGTGCGGTGTTATCCATAGGACCAGTAATATTTTGTAGAACGTATATAAAATCTGAAGAGCCGAATATAATGCTCTTAGTTAGAGGAAATGTGTTTATAAAGAAGTTGTGGTTATATAGAGGTTTTTTCTACAAGTTCAATAGTAATTGGTTCTCAAACATGGTGTGCTTATAAAGAGGTTTTTATATGATGTGCTTATAGAGGGAGTGACTATAAAGAGGGTTGACTGTATACGTGTTTGATTAGACATGGGTGTTTATCTTCAGTGTCAACGTGATGGGATCTAGTGCTGTATTCACGGTGGGATAAGGGAGCTAGTCGAGTTGGAAGAAGACTGTAGACGTGGTTGGCGTGTGGTTGGATTGGGTGTTGTGAAGAGAAAGCAATTGACGGGAAGCGTGTCAGTAGAGTCTCAGGAACGAAAAGCTGAGCAGATCAGAAGGTCGCTTAGGCGCCATGCGAACCTTGGACTATAATAAATGGATTGATCGAACAACAATACAGACACTGTATACCATTGAGTGTGGAGATTTCCAGGGATGTTGTTTCGACTATTTCCCCAATGCTTTGACATTCCGGCATGGACATAGCATCTTGTGGTAAACCATCAAAGTTTGGGAGGGGCTTTCTGAAATTCCGGTCGTTTGGTCCATTAATAAAATACTGGAATTGTTGAGCAAATTTCGGATTGAGTGTAAAAGACTTCCTGAAATTCTGGTAGTTGGTCCATTATGAAATACCGGAATTGTTGAAATATGGATACACGTTTCGGAAATTCTGGTAGTTGGTCCATTAATGATTAACAGTCCGCTAATGAGGTTATCATAGAATATTCGTACGAATGGATGCCGAAGTAAAACGTTTTACAAGCACAAGCTGCTTAACCCATAGACACCACTATATTCAAACATCCAATTCGAACTAAACCCACAGCCAAGAGTCGTCTTTTATAATTCCCCCTCCTGTACGGCTTTATTTTCTCTGTTTCACTTATATTATATCTTTTGCATGCCATCATCACGCGACTTTTGTGACGTTATTTGATGAAACAAGAGGATTTTCCTGCGTGGCTTCATTTTCTCTGCTTTGCTCATATTATATTGCGCGCGCGCAAACTCAAAGGGTGAACGCCTCACATTCCCGGGTTTTCCTGCGTTGAAGTTGTTTCGACGAGAAGCTTGATTCGTCACGGGTACAAGCAACTATGAGAATCAATCAGGCAGTATGGAAACATGCACGTTAATCAAAACAGAAGATGTTTCGCAGTGTTTAATACATACTAATTATTAAACAAATTCCTTGGTATTTACTTGTCAATTTGCAGAAAGTAACAAACACAATATTATATGGATTGACAATATGTGCGCTGACTATAACTGCATTTTCAGCATCATTGAATAACACTGTTTGAACATGATACCATCTATGGAAACAAAAGTAATTAACATTAAAGCTTTTTGATGATCAAATTTAAATCTACATTCTTGTTGCACAATTTTCTGTAATGTAAAATACCATAATTGATGAATAATCATCGATTCTCAGTCATAAAAAGGATGATTCGCAAGTCCGTCAAGCAATCAACAGCCAAATAGCTAAGGCTTACACTATGGAACTCAATGAATACACCCAATGGTTTATTGCTCTCTCGGTGCTTTGCCCGATCATCACCTATGGATTTCACATCACCTCACCATCTAAAGGCTTAAATGCAAATGTCGAGGCACATACAAACATTTCTCGAGAATTCTCTTCTTTTCGGTTCAATTACTTGTTTGTATATTTCCTTATAACAGGTGAACTTGTCTTATCGGATTGTTGGTCAATATTTATAAACCGAAAACTCTAATTAATTTAATTGTTTCTGCTAATTCTCACACTGCTTGCTCACATGCGACTTCAATAAGCTGGAGACTGGTTACAGGGACCATATTTATACGCCTTATACAAATCGTATGAATTTTCTCTAACACAGATTGCAACGCTCTACGTCACTGGATTCGTGTCAAGTGGACTTATAGGAACATTCATTGGATCGGCTGCCGACAAGTTGTGAGTGAGCGAGAGACTATTGTACAAGCACTTGTAAACAAACTGTTAAGGCAATCACTTAGATTCCTATATTACATTCACATTCTCAAGTGGAAGGAAAAAGTTTTGTCTACTCTTTTGTATTCTATACTCCATTACAGGAATAATTGTACTGTCTAATAATTATTTTGTACTTTTAGTTGGAAGGTAAGATGATGTGAGATAGGAATTGTTTCCATCAGAGTTTATTCCAAACACAATACTTATGACATTTCTCTTACAGGGTTTTGGGTGGAATCAGCACGTCTTTGCTGTTCTCCGTATTTGAATCATGGATGGTTAGTCAACATCTGTCGAAGGGTATTTCAATTCCATCTAATAATATACGTGGACTTTACAGTGGCAGACGCGTTTGCTATAATGGTTTATCTATCAATTGCTAGGATATCCGCAACATCTTCTCTCTTCAACGTTTTCAACGGCAACATTCGGGAATGGTCTAATTGCAATACTTGTTGGCATGGTTGCCAATGGGTTGGTAGAACTATACGGATACCCTGCCCCATTCTTGGCCGGAATAATACCATTCAGCATTGCTGCAATTATCATTAGCACAACATGGACGGAAAACTATGGTGTTAAAGTAAATGGTAATGTAAATGGGTGATTGAACCTATTTCTGAGATTTAGCGTACTAATAAGACAGTTACATAGATGGTGATGAAGGAAATGTATCGGTATATGCGGCTATGGGATTGATCCTGTCTAGTAAGTCAACATCTTTGTTCTCAAGGTTTTTCGCAAAGGATCAGGATTAATTGTCTCCCATGTTCAATATTAAGATTCCAAAATAACGGCCGTTGGAGCCATTCAGACTCTCTTCGAGGCATCAATGTATACATTTGTATTTTTCTGGGGTCCAGCACTGGAGCAACGAAATATTGACATTGAGCACGAAATACCCTTTGGAGTTATCTTCTCCAGGTGACCAATTACTATTATGGCTGAATTGTTTGACATGAGATTAATTAATCAAAGTTTGCTTATCGACTACAAATTCTTATGATTCAATGTAGTTTTATGGTCTGCATCATGATAGGCTCTCAACTGTTCAAGATGTTTCATGATAACTGGAAAAGAGACATAAAAAGTATTACAAATACTCTATTATTAACATCTACTATAGCCATGGCAATTGCCGTGTTTACAAAGGTATTAACGATAATGTTGTCCTGTTACATGATCATATTTTAATTATGGACGCGCAATATATGGTTTACTGTTCTATGGCTTTTCTACAAGACTAGCACAGGGTTACTCAAGGGCTTTTACATATTTGAAGTATGTTGCGGATGCTACTTCCCGCTGATCTCGACTCTTAGAGCCAACGTTATTCCGGAAAGGCTAAGAGCGACTATCATCAATATATTCAGACTTCCAATGAATGCTATTGTAGTTTTACTTCTGGTATGTGGGGTAGCTTACAACAATCAAAATTCCTACGTGTGTTTATCAATATTACGCTACTGTTACTGATTATTTATTTCTACTCTCACCGTAAAGATCTCAAATTTCTCTATATCGACTCAATGCGGTCTGTGTTGCCTATTATTGTGTATTGGATACTTATGGGCTCACGTAGCGCTATAGATGTGTGGTCATCTTTTCGAAGTTTGCTGTCTGTTGCCCCGTTGTTTCTGCCAAAAGGTGTACTTTCTCTATCCATTCAGTATGCACTGATTCTGTTCTATTGTCATAGCCAACATCAAACTTACTATAATGCTGTTGTCTTATGTAGTGAAATTCACTCCCAACTTGTATATAGCAACACGATTACCTGCTCTTTAATAATAAATCTGAATTATTATAAATCGTTGTGTATTCACATACATCATGATTATCAGCCAAAGTTTATTTTACATGGCAAATCTGCCCATTATAATAGCGAAACGCACGATATAATACTGGGTTCCTCACAACCTCTTTTTTTTTGTTCATCTTTTCGCTCTTTTCATTATACTCACCACCGACGGTCTCTAGCTCCGTTGACTTCCATAATTAAGAATAAATTCATAGCAGAAAAACATTATTGCAGCATTTGGTACCACTCTCATCAAATGCGCACTTAATCCGCCATATAGAGCAACCAAGCCCTCTTCGCGGGCAACTGTTCGCACGCATTGGATTATACCTGTGTATTTTAATTTACCATCCGGCTCCGGAGGCTGACGAAGTCGTGTTCGAATAACCTGAAATAACATTTGCATGGAATGGAATATTAGATTTAGAGCCTACAAACAAACTAATGAAAGAAGTTGATAACCATTAATTAATGCAAGAACATCACTTGTGATTGGCCTCCTCCCTCTCCTTGACGTCTTATACCAATACCGTCTTGTATAACTAACTGACCTCGTGTGGATAAGTGACGCAAGCAGCTAATAGCTTTGCAGTTCCAGCAGCAATAAAATTATCCAACCAACAATGCCAATAATTTGTTCCTTTCCTCGTCATGCTATTAACATCAAGCGCCACTTTCTGATTCCTTTTCCTACGTTCTGCTAACTTTGCTTTCAGAGATTCGTAGATTACCCATTGCATGGTACTCTCCGCAGTGCCTAAACATGAATTAAATAGATGATAGGCAATCGGCATGCTTATTTGAATTAGTTTTTCTGTGTCTAAAACACTCGGGTCAAGCTTCAAATTTGAATGTATCATGATGAAACATCACCTAGATAAGATGCACTAAGACCCTTGTATAATCCTCTGACGCCCTCTTCGTGTATCACTCGTAACACACAGTCAAACGAGTTACGATATTTCATCACCGGAAATAGCGAATTAGCGTTATTCGACTGCAGTTGCATTCGAGTCTTTATTAGCCAAATAGGATTGGTTATTGTAGATGTTGTGATTCCTAACGAGCGGGGTGGAAAACAAGAAAGATTATTGAGCATCTTGCTAATATGAAGAGCATAACAACCACGCGTCAGATATGCAGTATCACATTCATGCTCTCGATGCTCTTCCATCGTACTTCACGGTAATTACGGTAATTATTTTACTCACCGGCCAAAATGGCAGCTGATGTGTGTACTAATGCAGTCTCTACTCCGCCGTTCAACTCGGTTATTATCCTCTTTCCATTACCATAAGCAAAGAAATGTATAGCTCTATTCAGATGCAAATAAAACATAAATCAGATGATACTGAAAAGCTAGAATTTCACCCCGAAAATGAGCATAAAGATAAATAATCAGCATCAGAGAACATGCCTTTAGTTATATCATACAGTTTACCTTGCTGGAATGACTCCTACCAAGTTAGGACCTAATCCTTTGAAATATGCACGACATCCCTCTACACGATAGATTTGACTGATAGCCGATAGCATGGAAATGTGGTAAATAAAAGTAGCAATGTGTTTAGAATCGAGACGGGTAAAATCAATACTTTGTCTGTTCACTGTGAGGTTTACCAAAGGATTTGTCCGGTATCAACAAAATGTTTAATGACCGGAATCTGTATTCGAGTCTTGCTTAATCTGTTTTTATAGTATTCGGACTATCGTTGACATGACTTTAGAAAATTGCAATAATACGCGTCGATAATCCTTCGATAGTTCAAACTCCTTACTTGCAGACGTGTCTTTACAACATCCAATGGACTAGTCACAATAGCTCCCATCATACCTCCGACACTAGTAAGAGAGCCAAAGTTCCATTAATCACGTTAATAGAATACATCGAATCACATTTATTCAACAGAGATCGATCGATACGGAATTTGATCTTTCTATTGTATCATTAGAACTTACCCCCCAGCAACAAAGTGTAACCATGCTTTGGATCTAACAGTTTCAGTAGGAGTCCGTTTTGGTTGTGGTGGTACAACGTTTCCCTGAGAAGAGAAACCCAAAGGAGGTTGTGACAGCGGAGGACTACTTGTGGTCGTAGCAGTCATATATATATATCTGTATACAATCAACTATACGTAGAGATAATCAAGACACTTTCTTCAATCGTTAAATCCTCTTGTCCAAAATATGCGTCTCTATAGTTTTCTCTATTTCTATCTCTTCTTCCCTCTTTCGTGCTTTGCGAAAGCGTGTTTGTTCAAAGAAAATTTTAGGTATTGTCATTCTCTTACACGTGATTAAAATACGACATGTGGCTCGATTATTGATGAATTGATAACCGAACATTCGGTAACAGGCCCTGATCGACACATCTGCGATTTTTATAAACGTGCGCTGGGGGGGGAGTCGATTAAGTAATCCCAACTCTAATTATTATTATAACAAACAGTCTGTATTTCCTTATTGGCTAGTTTTTGAAAAGCGTTTCCATGGTGGAGAAGGTCCAAGGACTAGTAATTCACTTTGCTATGAAAAGATCTTCTGTAGAATAACCATATTCAGTTTGAATGCACGTCGCACTACGTCATGCATTGTCTCCAAGTTTGGTGAGTGAAATACTCGATTTAAGACAACGTATGAAGCAGCATACAAAGAAACAAATAATAAGGTTTGAGGGGTATTGTGAATGAGTCCAATTTGCTATTCTGAAATATTACTGGTGCTTTTCGGGCACAATTGATATATAAAATAGTGTTTGCGTTTTTATAAATTAATTCAGAGTCTGGCCCTCTCCGCAATACGATATTAAACTCTTAATATGTCTACACCCCACGAAATCATAGAAATAGAAGAAGAACAAACAGATGTGCAGGACACATTTGAGCCATCAAACACACACAACAAATTTCAATTGACCGACTCTCTGTTCATTAATAATAATAAGCGGTTGAAGACTGAGAAAAAGATACTATTCGAAAGACATGATATGATGGCATTCTCGCCAAGCAGAGAACACGTTGCGGTCTGGTCTGAAGCTAATAATACTGTTGAAATATGGTTCCTTGAAAATACTGGGAAACCATGGATTAACATAGCGATAGTTGAGGTGGGCGAGGTCTCTGACACTGCCCCGCCCAAGTTCTGCGTCTCTGATGATGGTTACTTTCTGTTTAGAGAAGGTAGATTTTGTTTTAGAATTTTAACCAAATGATCGTTATTACCGAGCGATTGGCCATTAAACCAAATAACGGGATGTACAAATTCTTTTCCCCCACCATCCCTTAGAAATATTCTCTTACGACGAAAAAAAAGGTCCCGTCAAACTTGTTCCGAGTATATTAGAAGTCATCGATACCAAAGATTCCGGCAACCAATACAATACCGAAAAATCAGATTTAGTCAATAGCGATAGCAAAAACTCCAACCTTTCAACGGTCACGGCCGAATTTCTACCGCATGGAGGGATAGTTGTTACAACCTGGTTTGGGATTTATCGCTATCTACCAGGGAAAAATCCGCAAGTGTGGGAAGGCAATCCTTACTATTTAACCGAACTACCACCAGATGAATTTGCGTCCAACGATTCAGCATACCTGCTAGCATCAAACCGACTCATATGCTGCTCTGAATATAATGTTCGACAATACAACGCCAGCACTGGCGACTTTGAACTTCAATACTGGCTATGCGATGAACGCGTAAGTTCCCTGAAACAGTTTCTGATCAGTCCAAATGAGAAACTGGTAGCTCTTACCCAATCATTTGCGGACAAGACTATCTCACTTTCCGTCTATCTAATGTCGGCTGGACTTCCGATTCAAACCATATACATAAACCGCGCTGATGAGTCCTACTTTGAATACCTTGAATTCGTTGAAGTCGGCGATTGCATCTTTTTGATGTCCTTGAGTAGAAATGGCCTTGTTGCATTCTGGGATCCGTACAGCCTGACAAAGAACGAGCAATTCAGTGAACCCAACCCGCTTGGAATGATTAATCTCTCAGACCACATTAAACTACTGACTTGGCTACCACAGAAAGGATTTCTCGTTAACAATGGATTGATTGTTGGATATGGGTGCTTGGGGCTCGAAACACATAGCATCTTACGAGATTACATTAAAGAAAACCTCCCACGCACGGTGCATCTTAACGATATGGAACAGGCCATCAGCAAGTTCGTCAGCAATGCAAATAGCACTGATATTCGTAGTAAAAATGAATTCAAGGGTCAATCAGTAACTTGGAAATTCAAGGATTTCGATCATTTGATTGCAACAACTAACGTAAATAACGAGAAATCCGAGATAAACATGGGAAGTTATGGTAAAGTGGTCAGCGCCTCGCTAATTGGAGATGATTTGGGAATATTATTCAACGATTATAAATACATGAAAATCGTCGTCCTTCATAAGAACGATGATCAAATAGAATTATCGTATTACTGCTCGATCGCAAAGTACGAAATTCTACCTCGTGCAGAGATCGCAAGTAGAGGGATTCTCGATATGTATACAGACATTCATTCGAGAGGCATTTCCAGGCGTAGAAATGACAGCAAGGAAAACGAATGCCTTGGTAAACTTCAGGAGATGATAAAAAATGGCTACAAGCTTAAAATGAATATAAAACATCTTTTACGAAATAAACAACCGACGCCGGACGATTCCTGCAAAGTGTACGAAAGAAACAATAGTCTCGTTCAACGCTTGCTACTGCCCAGGAACTTGGCATTGTATGGAGAAACCATAATGAAAGTGGCGATCATGTTGGGAGATCTTGCAATAATAGAGCATATTATTCAGCAATGCATCGATTTGTTCTACAGATACTCGCTGCAGTATATCGGTTATCTAGATATTGTAACTGTATGTTTACCAGAATTATCTCCGTGCTATCCCGATCAAGTCTCGTATTTTCTATCCAAAACAACTCTTATTAATTCACCCAACTTTAAATCCATTGGTATAAGATCGTATTCCCCATTAACGGGGCACTTGACCCCATTTATTCGAACATTTGATTGCCAAGAATCGATCGCGTCTTCGCATTTCACGCTCGAGGAAAGATTAAGCATAATGGAACTCGAGCGCAGCGTAAATACCAAGAGCCGATCCAGATGGCAGCAGATGTATCAGTATTTGCTAGCGTTAATAATACTCGCAAAGCACATCACTATATGGTTTTTCTGTTTGTTCACTAAAAGATATAATGGACAGAGAACGTGCACGCTGATGACTGGTTTAACAAAGTTCTACAGTTATCCAAAACAATATTCGTTCTTGAGAGATTATTTCTTCCCTAGCGCAAGCCCATTTGTAGAGAGTATTTATAGTAAAAAGTTTAGATTATATGAAACTTGGGATGGGGAGGTCATTGTGAATTTCAAGTGGAAAGCATTTGGGAGAGCATATTACCTATTTATCGGATCAATGTTTCTGATTATGTTCTTGTGTTTTACTATTGGCGTTACCAAGACCGATGATGATATATCACCTGATAATAGATATAGACTATTATGGGCGTCAAGTGCGTTGGCTATTTGGCATTTACTATTTGAGATTAGGCAGTTCATATGGAGGCCATGGAAATATCTCCTCTCTCCGTGGAACTGGATAGGTGAATATTAACAAACCGAATTCTTGATGGATGGTAAATCTATTGCTTTGCTAACACAAAAATGTCTGTGATTTTAGATAGTGGAGCATACGCATTCGTGCTGTTTACTGCATCGTTATGGTTATACGATGGTGAAGGTCCGACGTCGGCCACCGCGCTATCAATTCTACTACTTTGGCTAAAACTTTTACTCTTCATCAGACCGTTTGAATATTTTGGAATATACATGGCGATCATTATTGGAGTTGCCGAGAAGGTTTTCTCTTTCTTGGTAATCCTCGGGTTCATGGTATTGGGCTTCGCACATGCATTCTTTGTGTTGTTACGACCTCAGGCCGGATCATCTTTGAGTACGCCACCAAATCCAGACAATACCGACGATAATAACCCATGGAGTCTTACGACAAACTACAACGCAGTTGATGAAAACGGCGCAATATCATCCACTTCATCGTTAATACAAACACCAGACGTTAATACCAATCCATATGCTTGGTTCGATACATCCCTTCTTGCCGTTTATAGATTCATGTCTGGTAAATAATTTTTTTAGGTTACTGTGCAAATAGACCGTTTGTTTTTGTTTTGACGCCTTGCTTTGCCGGACTTTTCCTTAGGTGATTGGGGCGCCCTCCTAAATTGGAATATGCGGGAAAATCACGCCCTTGCTATCATGTCGGTCATGTTCTCGTTTTTCACTGTCATATATCTGCTAAATCTGTTTATCGGTCTTTTGAGCTCTGCCATCAACGAGTTTGATGAGCGCAGCTCATACTTATCTCAAAAGGCCGAGGTAAACAAATCTATTATATTCTATGTTCGGGCAAGCTTTAACAAAAATCGAAATTGATTACTAACAGACATTAACATAGGTTTTGGCTGAAATCGAGCTATTTTATCTGCTTCCTCACCAACGACGCAAAAAGTCATGGTTTCCCGACATCTTGTAAGTATTGTCATAAAACATTTGTGCGATGCCTTGAAATATGTAATGACATTCCGTATGCACATTATTTAGATACTACAAAGCCAATGCGTCGTCTTTGAGAAAAGTAATCAAGGACAAGATAAATGATAATCCGAAATATTTAAACACCATACCGAGACATATAGCTCGTATAGCTGAAAGTCTGGAGTTTGAGCTGCCGGAAATCGAAGAGATGCAACACATTTCTATGCATAAATATCTAAGGTACTATGGCCTAAACGGCATGATCAAGTCGCCGGGCATGAAAGATAGTTGCGAATTTTTCGCATCACCTCAACCCTCTCCTCGTGTTGACGCATTTAAAAAGGCAGAACAAGAAGCATGGTTTCATTACAGCGATATATGCCAATGTGCAGAACGCCCTCCCAGGGATAATCTGCCAATGTGTCCTTTTTGAATATTCCTTAACAAAAACTGTCTTTCGCATACGCAACTGAGTAATAAGAATTGCATGTAAAAAACAGACATTCATAAGCTTTTGGTTTGGTTTGGTGGGGTGTGGGGGTGGGGGAGGTCTGAATTTTCAATGTACAAAAAAATAAAACGCATAAATAAAAATTTTTACATTCACATTGCACACGAGATCGAAAGCTAATTTACATTAAAAAATTGCAGCGTGCTATCGAGATACTTGCTCTATATTTGGTATAAACTCAACTGCGTATATATTTTTTTGCGAGATGCGACTTCAGCTCTGTACGTAGTGACCGCTATTTCTAATCATCGCGCGTATCGATGTTGTTCTATTTTCTTCTCATCTCGTATAGTTGTGCAAATTTCGTCAGATCATGTGCGAAGAAACTATAGTTTACCATCAGAGATTTTTGCTCTCAGGGTTTTATATTAATATAGGTTTGCCACTTGCCACTTGCAAATATAGAGCATTTTGCTCTGTGAGGAGATAATATTTTAGATCTGTGAATACAATTTAACTGCTTAATTAATAAGATTAAGATTAGTATGGTTTGTTCAAATCATTAAAAATCAAGACAATTGGTCCGCGTATATCATTTTGTATAGATGATCCCGACTAGACATAAATGGTAAGCTTATTTCAGCAGTACGATTCACAGTCTGTTCATGCTGGCAGAATGCGTATATATTTAGACCTGGACGATACCTTCTATAGAAATTTTGATGTTAGCATTTTGATGCAAATATACCACATAATCTCTTATCTATTTAACTAACTATATTTAACAAGGCAACACTTTAGAGAAAACGCGTGACCTTTTCATATGTACGTGTGTCACTGATAGTGATTACCGTCTATCAAATGACAAATGAAATCCCTTAAAACATGAGTCTTTATATTTAATAAACATTTGTCGACACGATTGAGGTGGGAATGCTATAAAGGGTGAAAGAAATCTTTGTCAGCTTTATTGACAGATTAGGTGCATAACGCGTACAAAAAGGCTAGCATCCTTAAAATTGCTCGATATTAAAGCATTGTACGCTATAATGCCCTCCTTATTCCTTTACAGATGTCATCTATTTCAAATAATACAAACCACGGTCGTGAAATCACTCGGGTATTCGACAAATTGAACATGAGTTTACAACGTTAGCGAACAAATTTTGATGAAAAAGATTATAATTCTCAAGATAGTTACGCTGTCTTCACCTTTCAATTTCGCATATCGAAAAAGAGTTAATTATATTCATTTGTTTACATCTTTTTTTGAGAACAGCCTTTATTCATCCTTGTATCAATTGTCCCTTTTTCTCTTCCTAGAAATTTTAAGCGGAGGTTACCCGAGACGCTCGGTTCTACAAACAGATTTAGGTTATTTGCCAAGAAATTATTCCTGCAATTACCTTGTCACGGCATATTTCTGCACAAGTTATACAATCCACGACTTGCACGTGATTAAAAATCAAAGCCCGAAATATATGGCAACAAGGTAAATTTGCAGCAACCAATCATAATGTTGTAAAACAGAAACGATTACCGAGATTATGTTATAGCCTGAACCTTTTAAATGCGTAACAGGCCGAGAAACAAGATCGTGGAATTTGCGTCATATACTTTCGGCGTTGTCTCACAAGTATCAAGCCTGAAATCATATTGTAAAAGAGCTTGCTTCGGTCTTTCATTATCTTGTTGGAGCTCGTATTCGCATTCATAATACTTTGGACGATCGCTTTGTTCCTCAGTTCTTCCATTCAGTAACGTCCCAATCATCAGACATTCGAATCCACAATCTACTGAGAAATGGTTTGTAGGCTGCATAATGTTTGTGGCTAAAAGCGCAAACCATATATAGTTATGATGTCATAATACGCCATTCAGATAAATATTCTAAAGACAAATTAGTAAAGATAAACGGTTCAAGTAAAATTCGGGGTTCATTGCGGCATAACGATATGTATTCATTCGGAGTTATAACTGAAATCCAGTATTAATTCATGTCAATTTGTATCTCCATATGAGCAAGTAATCGCTGTGAGACAGATGCAGAGCTATTTGTGGTCTACCAGTTTAATGTAATGCATCTCGTACTGTAAGAGCATGTTGTGAAAATGTCAACATGGCCAATAAAAGAGGGGATTCCTAAAACTGCACCCCATTTTAATTTTGTTTTACCCTAAATCAACAAACGGTTAAGAGCTTTTAGCTAATGCTGCTATATATAGAAATTATTTAATACACAGTGCGCACAGTGATCAGGGCCCGTCTATTAATGGCGAATACAATAATAAAAGGTCACCGTTTATGTGTAACAACGCCGAAACTGGACCGCTTATTTTTAAATTAAGAAATGTTGCCTCTTTTTCACACATTCTCTGACAATTAGTCGTTTCGAACGTCTTCCTCAACTCACCCCATTCCCTCCCCAAAATGTCGTCAAAAACGACACATGGCGCCGACCATGTAGAAATACCAATAACAGAGGTAGACAATCGTTAAACATAAGTGAGGAAACTGCACGCGCTTGTTCAATTCAATCTCTCCTAACATTCTACTCACTTTTTCTATATGATAAACAATTTAGATTGAAGAAGACAAAGACTCTCCAAACACTGAAGGCAGTAGCTTCAGTCTACTAAGTCTTGCAGGCTCCATGTTGGGACACCACGAACACCAGTTGACAGATGAAGAAAAGGAACTCGAGAAGACGGGCATAACCATTGTTGCTATCGACAAAGATCGCACTCTGCATGTGTTGGATAAAGAAGACGTAAAACTCTTGAAGCTTATGAAAACCTGGATGGAAAAACATAAGCCTACTCTGGAAGAGCTTATTGATAAATTCGGTATGTCCACACTGTCCGTATTTTCATGGTTGGCCGTCTGTTTGTAGAGCAAACTCGAAAACGGGGTCCCATTCCAATTGAAAAGGAAACGGTACTCATTCATTACTTTTCTGTAATGTCTATATGAGTCACCTGAAAGGAATGGTTTTTGACTATCTTTCAGACTGATTGCCAGATCTTCATTCATCCCTTTTGTATCACCCTCTACTGTATATAAAATCCTAACCTTTTCAAACGTTTAATCATTATTTGAACAGAATCCCACGATACAGCAGATGCAATAGCAAAAATACTCTTCGATTATCCGTTTCCCGACTTTATTCTCAAGTTTAAAAAGGATGAGGGGGAAGACACAATTACCAATTCACAAATCCGTCGCAACTTTGAGAGGCTGCTGCTTTTATCCGGAGTGCTTGTTGAATTTGAAGATGACACAGACAAGGAGTACAGTTTTGTCAAAATATGGGTTCCATTTAGAAGAATGTGCGAAGAAGCGGAGGAATTAAAGTTGAAAATGCCGCTAGACGTGCGTATTAATACTCTATAATTCTATTTACTAAATAACGATAATACGATTGAAACTTGAATTTTTTTTTATTTCAGATGAAAAAATTTCCCAACCTGGAAGAGCCTGCGCCTGGCTGGAAGGTTACAGAACTTCTTCGAACATATTTCACTTACAAAATAGATATAAATGAAGAATCGGCTGATTTTAAAGCAGACCGCTTGCATCGATACGATCGTGCGGAAGAAAACCAATCATGGTCTCATATCGTCCTCACATTCTGGCCTGGTTCTAAACGCACTCTTCTTACCCACCATATAATTATTAATGCTAATCAAGTTCGCCTTGACGAAACAGCTGGTGATACAAGGAAAAGGAGGCTTAGAAACTTGGCCATTAGTAAACTTTTGAAGGATGGCGTGTACAAGGAATTTTTCCCCTTGCATGACGGACCATTCAAGTCAAAGGGAAATGACAAAGACGTGGATAAATTGAATATAAGGGCTCAGTTATATGCTTTGTGGTTTAAGGCTCGTGGAATGCAGCCTATGGAACTTATCAGGGAGTATCTCGGTGAAAAGTTGGCCTTGTACTTTGCTTGGCTTGGTACGTGTGTGATTATGCTTTTACTCTGTTGCCTTGAAGCAATGCTGCGCTAGCGATTGATTTACATGCTTCCTGGTTTTACTGTAGGCTTTTATACTGCTTGGCTACTAGTTGCTTCCGTATTCGGGATTATTGTTATTTTATTTGGTGTAATAGATGCTGCTAGGTAAAAAAGCCAATTACTTAACAAAGTTCGCTCGATTTAACGATATGCCGTACGTAAGGATACTAATGCCAAATGTTTTACTGGTTGTGAAATTCTTTGCTTTCAGAAACGGATTTAAGGATGGCATATCGTTAATATGGGATAATGCGCTTTCAGCTCCATTTGCTTTCATCATGTCCATTTGGGGTGAGTATTAGACATTAAGTAATTTGAGAATGTGTAAACAATCTATTAACGTGCCGAAATAATATCGGTTTTTATTAGCAACATGTTTTCTTGAGACATGGAAGAGATATAATGCCGCTTTACAATTCGATTGGGACGTACTTGAATTTGAGAAAGAAGAGTTACCACGACCGGAATTCGTTGGCACTAGTATGTTAATTGCATGCTTTAATATATACTCTGTATATCTACAAGTCTTAATAATTTGTACTCTTTCTTTTTTTAGTGGTTAGAAAGTCGCCAATCACGTTCAAGCAAGAGATTCACTTTCCATTTAATAAGCGTTTGCGAAAATTATTTGTATCGGGAATGATTGTGTTTCTTTCAGTAAGTAAAGACATTATTGTGGATGGTTGACCTCATTAGAATGATGTTGATAAACATTGCTCCTTTGACAGATATGTATTGTTACGGTGACTATCGGTGTACTGCTTATATATCCAAGACGTCTTTTTGATTATAGTAATGCGTGGGGAAGTGTCGTTGTCGCGTTGATTAATCTTGCAACCGTAATAACGTTAAATATGGTAAGAGAACAGCGGCATTTTTAACGGATGATTGTTTGCAGTACTAAATGGACGTTTTATCATTACCAGGTATATTCTCAATCGGCCATTTGGTTGACTGACTTTGAAAACCACAGAACGGCCACATCTTATGAGGGTTCGTGTGATGACGAATGTAACGAATTGTCTTTTACGAGTCTATCGCACTCTCCTAACTTATCAATCATCATCGCGTTATTAGATTCGTTGATCCTTAAAATTTATTTGTTCGATTTCGTCAATTTTTACTCTGCTCTGTTTTATATCATGTTGTTCAAACAAAAAGTGAGTACATATTTCCTTTAAAGTTTTGTTGTTTTTTTGAAACAAAAGTCTAAGAGTTTGTTGTATATATTAGTTTGTCAAAGCGATACAGCCCGACGCCCCGGATGGCTGTCAATTCCAGAGTTGTTTAACCGAACTCACTATTCAATTGGCCATTATTCTTATTGGCAAACAAGCCTTTGGACAATTTCAAGAGTTGCTTCTTCCGTAAGTATTTGATCGACCGACGAACTCTGTGATATAACATTATCTAACGCATACCATTCAATCATTATTTATAGCTGGATACTCCGTAAATTCCGCAAAGGCGCCATCCTTGATGAAATGAAGTCTTTTGAAGAAAAACACAAACGTTCAAAGAGAAAGGATTCGGATATACCACAGTGGGCCCAGGACGATCGGTTGGTTTCCATCCACAGTGAAATGCGGTCTGAATATGAAGAAATGGGTATGTGCATGCATCTAACTTGGAACAATTAAAGAAACAGTCATTTTTTACACCAATTTTGACTAAATTCGTCATTTTGTTTGTTTGTTTGTAGTCGTTCAATTTGGCTTCATCTCCTTGTTTGCTACCGCCTTTCCACTAGCCCCATTATTTGCCTTTTTGAATAATTTAACAGAAATTCGATCTGACGCGTACAAGGTGAGACTTTATGGATAATCGATAATTTCGTCTTACCAAGTAAGAACGTTAATTAACGTATAACTTTGATTATTACATATACACAGTACCTTGTAACATATCAGAGATCTGTTGGACATCAAGCACAAGATATTGGCATGTGGGAAAACATTCTCCGAGTTGTTTCACTCTTGGCCGTACTTACTAATGCAGGGATCATAGCATTCCATTCTACTTACATGCGGAACCAGTTCAGCAAATATATTGATAATGAAGATCAATTACTTGTTGCAAGATTGCTATTTATGCTTATATTTGAGGTAAGAATATATTGGTGGCTTTTTGTCTAGTAGTACTCACCCCCTTCGTTCGCTCACAAGTTTCTCGTTCTTGCAACAGCATGCTGTGTTTTTACTCAAATTAGGTTTTTCTCTGTTGATTCCTGATGTACCGAAAGCCGTTCGCATCGCTATAGAGCGCGAGAATTACATGGCTCGTATTGCTCTTGACGATGAGGATCCAGCTGCTGATGAATTGGAGGAGGCTGAAGAGGATGATAAAAAGATATATTCACTTGTTGGTTCTTTGAACCTGAACAAACTTAAAAGAGTCGCGCATCATGGTCATGTGTACTTTCACGAAAAATCCCAGTAAAACGCGAGACTGTCAATCCAATTGTACATTAATTATTAAAATAACGGCTTGGGTGTATTCTGGAATTCTAGTGTGAATCTTTACTCAATAATAAAAAGATTCGTAGGAACAATTTACATGTAATGGCTGGTGTGGCTGGGATGTAATAGGGCCGATAAGAAGAATAAAGACTTTTGCGAATGTCTAGTTTATTAGTAATTGGCAATTTTGGGATTTATGTTAGATTTAATACGGGAACATACCCGCCATTTCTCTCAATTACTTAATAAACGACATAGCAAATTTTCTAATCTGTTGATTGACAAAGTTTCTGATGACGAACCTTGCTATATTCTATCGAACTTCATATTTAAAGTTTTAGCATTGGTTAAAAGATGAGACGACGAAATTTGTTAAGAACAAACAGCCATCACTTAGTGACATCGAAAAGAAAGAATTTACCAAAAGTCCCTCAACCGAAACAACCGAATTAGCAAAAATGTGCTGTCTCGAGAAAAGGCTAAATTTGTTTGGCAAGTTTTGTGCGACTAGAAGAGAAACATTCAAATGTCTTACAAAAAGTGAGGTAGGTCGATTTAGCTAAATTACCTTCATATTTGATATTAGGAAATTGCAATTTCGTGTCATCAATATAAAAATTAACAATTAAACGAGGGCTAACATTTCCAGCACATTTTTTAATTGTGATATCAGTAATGTCAGCTTCAATTATTGTCATTGAGAAAGGCTGAATACTTTTGTGAATTGGATAAACTGGACCTTCCATTAGTTACCATTAAATGTTTATACTATTTCAAATGTGGGAGAATATCATATAAATTGAATTCCTACACAGTATAACAGTTTAACAAGAAAATTCATGTTTTTCTTCATCAAACAAATTCCTCTTTTTCTTTGAGTCAAGCTGACATGCCATCCCAAAGTCAATCAGGTACACATGGCCAACACTATTAAGCAAAATATTCTCTTCTCAGATGTCATTGTGGGCACATCATGTTTGTGAATTTCATTGAGTGCTTTAAGAGCCCTACCTAGGCTTTTGCTTTTTGGTATCTTGTTATCATTACTTAGGTGTGTGGTGTGTACCAACTGCCAACAATACTTGTACCAATGACATACCAATTTGGGAATGTATTTCCCTGAATGTCCTTGAGATCTTCATTATAGACTTGTACTTCTTTCTGCATTTCTTTCAAGATATCTGGTGGGGTTTTGTAGTCTTCATCTCCATGGAATTCACACAGGAGTGTCTTTCCACTTTATCCTTGCCTAGTATTAGTATACCCTTAAACCTAAAGTCCACATAGCTAAGGTTCAGCTAATTTGGCTGATTTGCTGAGGCATCAGAAGATGACCCCTGAGTTAGAGTATGAGTTGAGCCACATTAGAATATTGCTTGGTTGTAGACTGTTGGATAATAACAGGTTGTTTTTTACAATGTGCTTGCATATTAATATGTATTTTTTGGGTTGGGGTGGTGATCCAAGACAGATTTGAGCAGAGTTGATCCATGTTAGATTTGGAGATGAACAGGAATCTGTTTTCCTGGATGGGTTCAATAACTGCATCTCATTTTTATTTTGGAGTTAAAAGGTTTGTATTAGAAATCAGGACAGGTGCAATTTCCTTAATAGTACAGTAAGGGGAAAGAGCATTTGAGATTGCATTAGTAATTATATCATGGGTAAACCATGTAGATGCACAACAATGGAACAGATTTTGGTGGAGTAAGATAAACATGTTTGTCATTAATGACAACAGAAGCCATGGAGAGGTATTTTTCATAAGTGTTAGTATCTTTAAAAGTGAGTTGAAGAAAGCAATCAGCTGGAAAGAAGGCAACATTGAGGAGATCATTGCAAAAATAACCATGGATTGCTTTGTCAGATATGTTGTTAGCTTTATGATCAATAAAGAGAGGAAGTGTCAGGCAGGACACAACCTACAAAAGGGTTGTTAGTTTTCATATTTTTCCAAGAGAAGAGAGTAAATGAGCCATCAGGATTAACCAATGGAACATTTGTGGGAATAATTTTGATAGGAGAGGTAGACAGGGGTGGGGTGGCTGCTGAAGGACAGCAGAGTAAGATAACATGGAGGAGGAGGCACCAGATGAAGTTACAGCAGTTGTAGACATGTGTAGACAGGAGGAAAAAAACTAGTGATTTTCATAGGTAGAGAGAATGCCATACTGAAGTTCCCTTACCCTGTCACACATATAGTTGTAAATCTGCTGAATCACACACTGTGCTTTCAAACTCAATTTATAAAAGTCTGGAAGGTCCTTCCATCAAAACAATCCCCTTTTGTTCTCAATACACAATATCAGTTGGCTGGCATAGTAATAGTGGCAATTGAAATCTGGTATGCCTGGTCCCATGGGCTTATTTAATACCTGACATTATTGACCTGAAAAGCGGCATAAAGATCCTCTTTGATGCACACATTCACAAAATCGTTATTTAAATTGTGGTTTGTCAAATTTCGGCTCTTGATCGAAAGTAAAGTCATTCGCATCATCAAAAAAGCAGCCCCAAAGCACTACTTCCATCGGGGTTTTACCACCAGTTCTCGATGTTGTTGTAACTGTTGTAGTTGTTGATATTGTTGGTGTTGCAGCTGTTGTAGCTGTTGATATTGTTGCTGCTGCAGCTGTTGTAGTTGTTGATGTTGTTGCTCTTGTAGATGTTGCAGTTGTAGTAGTAGTAGTAGTTGTTGTTGTTGTAGTTGTTGCTCTTGAGGTAGAAGCATTCAAAGCATAGGAAATGGATGGCATAACATATGACAGTGCCTCTTCTAGGGAGAAATAAAATACGCGTGTCAGAGTGATATTACGGATACAAAATCTGCAGTTCTCAATACTTACGTGGCAACTTGATGATGACATGAATATGCCTTCTCAGCGGTGTGTCAGCCCAGTATTCATCGAGATAATGTGTCGGCGGCAACTGGTTGTTGTCTTGTAAAGTTTGTCCCCGAATAAAGTCATTGTGATCGTCTGGGATTTCCACTTTCCATAGTCTCAGTTTTTAGCGGGCCAACTATCAAATTCTGGTGCATTCTTCGCCTTAATAGCGTCTTTCAGATCATCAACTGTGTCATCTCTATTACAACAACGGGAAAAGGTGTAGTTCCTTTTTCCACTAAGCAGAAAAGCTTATGGACATAGTTTTTAGAGTTATGATTGTGTTATGGTGAAGGACAGATACGAAAAGAAAGTGACTCAGCCCTTTTATTATTATGTGATTTACTTACACAAACATGTGATACTTCTCCATATTGAAGCGCCGAATCTGTTGGGGCCAGACACTTTCAGGTTCAGTAAAGTAGTTAGAGAACCCTCCATGCCTTTGTGAAAGAAGACAATGGTAAAGTCTCGGTAAATGCATTTGATCAATTGATATTATGGAGAAATGTTTCATTGCCAATTGGTTGTCATGTGTTTACAATCGAGACTATTTTTGAATAATTGCTATTGTAATTTACCTGATGCGTGTGGGAGATAATTAAGAGCTAAGATTTTTTAACTTTAGTGTTGAGTGACAATTTGATATCGATTATACCAATGTGAGCATTTTCAATTAGGGTTCTGTTTTGAAAAATGAAATCTCAAACGGCGCTTGCTCGCACATCATTACGGGGAAGGATCGTGCATCTATACTGGCAAAGAGAAATACCTTCACTGTTTATAAATACCTCAGCATTTCGCGGAATTGATAAAAATACTCTTGGCGTATGGTATTACCACAATAAATTCGCCTAGATGCAACGATCAATATTCGAGAATTATCTTAGAAGGGTCAACAATATGTTCCGTTCCCTAAGAACCGCGAAATTATTTGCTTCCCGATAGCGTATCAACTCACGAAGTCAATAATTTTGATCTTTTCCAACGTCAAAGTTGACTTTCTACCTCCAAATACATCAACTTAAATTCAGCCCCTTGATCAAGGAATATTAAGGTTTGGAATCTGTTATTTTTAAGGATGTTAGTTCTGTATTTCTTTATTATTATATAGGCCGTCAATTACTATACTCGACGCGATTAACTTCATGATTAAAGCACAAGATTGCATAAAGGCGCAAACGATTGTATCATCCTGGACGCGTGCTGATATTTTACCAGTTTCCACATTGGCAATAAAACGACGATTTATTCCTCCGCTATTTTCTCGGCGATTCTTGTGTACTGCTGTGATGCAAGATTCTAGTACTAAGTACCAGATGTCCTTAAAAGGAGGAAATTTGGATATAGCAAAGAAAAGGGATGGAACAGATTAGCTTATTATATCAAAATTCATGCATTATATCTCAATGTTTTGATTTATATAGGATTACTTACCTGAAATGTGCATGACAATTTCTTCTATTCTTTGATCTGTACTATAATATTAACATGTTCATTCTATTGGTCCCTTCAGTTGACACACAATCTACAGTCGTTAGTGCCATAAAATTTAATTTGATACTTTCATAATAACCGCAGACTAGATATAGGTAAAATCAAACAGTAGCATTATTTTGCTGTCCTCCCGCATTATCACAAGTAGCCTTTCATCATTATTCATCTCTTAATTTCATCGAATACCATACTCGGTGTACCATTAGGATAATTTCGTCTTGAATGCCAAACAAATGCTGCGCGATGTGATGCTAATATACGAGTGGCTTAACCACGACATATGTTAAGACCTTTTCACAATTGACTGTTATTGTTTCCATTGTATGCAGAGAATGTAGTTGACTGGTTACTTTTTTAAAATTGGAATGCTATTTACCAAGTGTACTGTATTCCTTCTCTTCGCTTATCCTTCAGCCTGAATATTATTATTTTACATTTATTTGTTTTATTATTATCAACAAAACATATAATTGTTATCACAACAAATAAAAATACTGCAAGCACATTCGTTAACTTGTAAACAGTATAATACATGGTCGTATATAAGTACCAGAAAAGGGAATTAACAGTTAGTGCGGCGTTTATGAGCTTTGAGGAA